CCCAGGCTGAGTTCCGCGGTTTCTCGCTGTCTCGCCGACCCCACACCAGTGAGCCAGCTCAGTGTCCCGCTCCTCGCAGCAGCGAGCCTCGCAACGTCCCGCCGAGTGTGTGTGTGAGGAAGTCCGCGGATTGGTCCAAACGTAACGGCTCCGCGGACGTTACGTTACGTCACTATACCCGAAATACGTCACTATACCCAAGAAGTAAACAATGGAAAAAGAGAAATCCCCAACGAGGCGTTCTGGGGCAGCATAGACAGGTCTTCTCTGTGTTAGAGTTTTACTCGCTACAGGGTGTACTTTGAGGGTTTGTGACTTTGCAGACCGTTTACATGCAGAAGCTTCATAACACAAGGGGACGGGTAATAACCGGGAAAGCATGACATGGGACCTTTAAGTGAATTCAGGCTTTTCATAATAAAAGCCTTTTTTAAACAAATCCTGGTTGACTTTGTTGGTTGATTTAAGTCAGGCTTTTCAAAATAAGAGTTGATTGTGTATTGTTGATGTTAACAGTAATGGTTCTTCCTGTTTCTGCAGAGCCCCTCGCCCCCCCCAGCCCTACAGGTGAGGGAGAAGGGGGGGCGCTCCTCCAGCTGTTATCGGGGGGGCCCGGCCCGCTGCCCTCCCCCCGCTGTCTCACCCACAGCCTGAGATTCAACTCTGACCCCGAGGCAGCGCCCTCCCCCCCCTGCAGCCAGCAGTACATGTGAGTACCTGTCTTTAAGCAAACAACAAAATAAGTTACCATAGCTATGCGGATGACACACAAATTTACGTAACAATTTCACCAGGAGATTATGCTCCAATTCAAACACTGAGTAAGTGCATTGAACAAATCAATGACTGGATGTGTCAGAACTTTCTCCAATTAAACAAAGATAAAACTGAGGTAATGGTTTTTGGAGCCAAGGCAGAACGTATAAAAGTTAGCGCTGAGCTTCAGTCTGCAATGTTCAAAACAACAGATACAGCCAGAAATCTAGGTGTAGTCATGGACTCTGACCTGAGTTTCAACAGTCACATTAAAACAGTTACTAAATCAGCCTACTATCACCTAAAGAACATATCTAGGATTAAAAGACTAATGTCACAGCAGGATCTGGAAAAACTAGTCCATGCTTTTATCTTCAGTAGACTCGACTACTGCAATGGTGTCTTTACAGGTCTCACTAACACATCTATTAGAAAGCTGCAGCTGATTCAGAACGCCGCTGCTCGAGTCCTCACTAACACTAAGAAAGTGGATCACATCACTCCTGTTCTGAAGTCTTTACACTGGCTTCCTGTGTGTCAAAGAATAGATTTCAAAATATTGTTGCTGGTTTATAAAGCTTTGAATGGTTTAGGCCCAAAATACATGTCTGACCTACTGCTAAATGATGAACCATCCAGAACCCTCAGGTCTTCAGGGACTGGTCAGCTTTCTGTCCCCAGAGTCAGAACTAAACATGGAGAAGCAGCGTTCAGTTATTATGCTCCAAATATCTGGATCAAACTCCCAGAAACCTGCAGGTCCGCTGCAACTCTTACTACTTTTAAATCCAGGCTGAAGACTTTTCTTTTTGCCGCTGCTTTTAATTGAACTATTCACATCTTAAACTGCACTGTAACTTTTAACTTTTATCCATGTATTTTTTCTTTTAATGTTTATTTTATTATCTTTCCTTTTTAATGACTGATTTTAAATGCCATTTTTAAAATGTCTTCCATTTTTGTAAAGCACTTTGAATGACCTTGTGTTGAAAGGTGCTATATAAATAAACTTGCCTTGCCTTGCCTTGCCTTGCCTTAAGAAGCTCTTGTTGTGAAAAACATGTCCGCCTCTGTCTGTATGTCTGATTTTAAGAAGCTCTTATTGTGAAAAACCTGTCTGTCTGTCTCTCAGTCTCACCTGTCTGTCTCTCTCTCTGTATGTCTGATTTCAAGAAGCTCTTATTTTGAAAAACCTGTCTGTCTCTCCGTCTCAACTGTCTGTCTGATTATAAGAAGCTCTTATTGTGAAAAACCTGTCTTTACCTTTCTGTCTCTCACCTTTCTGTCTCTCACCTGTCTGTCTCTCTGTACCTGTCTGTCTCTCTTTTTGTTTACCTGTCTGTCTCTCTCTCACCTGTCTGTCACTCTGTTTACCTGTCTGTCTCTCTGTTTACCTGTCTGTCTCTCTGTTTACCTGTCTGTCTCTCTGTTTACCTGTCTCTCTGTTTACCTGTCTGTCTCTCTGTTTACCTGTCTGTCTCTCTGTTTACCTGTCTGTCTCTCTGTTTACCTGTCTGTCTCTCTGTTTACCTGTCTGTCTCTCTGTTTACCTGTCTGTCTCTCTGTTTACCTGTCTGTCTCTCTGTTTACCTGTCTGTCTCTCTCTCACCTGTCTGTCACTCTGTTTACCTGTCTGTCTCTCTGTTTACCTGTCTGTCTCTCTGTTTACCTGTCTGTCTCTCTGTTTACCTGTCTGTCTCTCTGTTTACCTGTCTGTCTCTCTCTCACCTGTCTGTCTCTCTGTTTACCTGTCTGTCTCTCTGTTTACCTGTCTGTCTCTCTCTCACCTGTCTGTCACTCTGTTTACCTGTCTGTCTCTCTGTTTACCTGTCTGTCTCTCTGTTTACCTGTCTGTCTCTCTGTTTACCTGTCTGTCTCTCTCTCACCTGTCTGTCTCTCTGTTTACCTGTCTGTCTCTCTCTCACCTGTCTGTCTCTCTGTTTACCTGTCTGTCTCTCACCTGTCTGTCTCTGTCTACCTGTCTGTCTCTCACCTGTCTGTCTCTGTCTACCTGTCTGTCTCTCACCTGTCCGTCTCTGTCTACCTGTCTGTCTCTCACCTGTCTGTCTCTCTGTCTACCTGTCTGTGTGCAGGTGTCGGGCTCTGGACCGGGTCGATGTCTCGGAGGACCCCGGCTCGCCCTCCGTCTCGTTTCTCACGCGGCAGATTCAGGCCCTGAAGAAGAAAGTCCGTCGCTTCGAGGACCAGTTCGAGCAGGACATGAAGTACAAGGTGGACACTGCTGTTCATTTGATACATCAATTAACAAAATACATCCATTAACCAATGAATACGCTGGATTTAGTCTGCTGTGTTGGGATAATCCAAGACGGGCTTTTCAAAATAAGAAACTAATCCTGTTTGTCTTTGTGATGTTTATAGAAGACAGGCTTTTCAAAATAAGAGCGTCTTAAAAACTAGTAATCGTTCAATTTGTCACGTAAACTCAAGTTGGTATTTTCAAAATAAGAGCTACTTATTAACAGCTCTATGAAACAAATGGAGTCCTGAATCAGGGTTAGGGTTATTCAAGGCAGGCTTTTCAAAATAAGAGCTACTTAATACGAGCTTAATGACAGTGGGATGTCAGTATTTTGACGTGATGAGATCATTTATTTTCAAAAATAAAAGCGTTCACCCAGAGTTTCACTTCCTGTTTGGGTTTCAGCCGACACACAACGATAAATACTCGAACCCCGAGATGATCCGAGTGATGGGGGAGCTGGCCACGGCTCGCAAGCGACTGAAAGGTAAGACAACAGATCAGAGACGTAGGAGACGTGAGCTCAGAGTCAAACAGTCCAGACTATCAAACACCTGAGCTCTGTGAAGTGCCTCGATAAACATGCATCTGTTTGTCATCTTGCTATCTACTTATTTATCTAAATACTTATCACCGCAATAAACCGTATTTAATTTAGTCTTAATGTACATTATTTAATTTCATATTCTGTTCTTGTAGATATCATATTCTATTTACATGTATAGAGACTTCTTGTACTATTTTAGTTTTTTATTATATATGTTGCATCGTTGGAGCTCAGAAGAGTTTCCAACATTTCCCATTGGGATCAATAAAGTACTTCTTTATTATTTAGAAGTACACACATCCTTTACTCACGTAGAAGTACACACATCCTTTACTCACGTAGAAGTACACACATCCTTTACTCACGTAGAAGTACACACATCCTTTACTCACGTAGAAGTACACACATCCTTTACTCAGGTAGAAGTACACACATCCTTTACTCACGTAGAAGTACACACATCCTTTACTCACGTAGAAGTACACACATCCTTTACTCACGTAGAAGTACACACATCCTTTACTCAGGTAGAAGTACACACATCCTTTACTCACGTAGAAGTACACACATCCTTTACTCAAGTAGAAGTACACACATCCTTTACTCACGTAGAAGTACACATATCCTTTACTCAGGTAGAAGTACACACATCCTTTACTCACGTAGAAGTACACACATCCTTTACTCAAGTAGAAGTACACACATCCTTTACTCACGTAGAAGTACACACATCCTTTACTCACGTAGAAGTACACACATCCTTTACTCACGTAGAAGTACACACATCCTTTACTCAAGTAGAAGTACACACATCCTGTACTCAAGTAGAAGTACAGATACTCGTGTTTAAAGATACTCTGGTGAAAGTAGAAGTACTGACTAAACTTCTTTACTCAAGTCAAAGTAAAGAACTTTGAAATGTACTTCAGTAAAAAGTACCCATAACTAGCAGCTGTTTTAAAGAGTACCTGACCTCCCTTTATATTAATAGAACAATAATGTCATTGTTAGCTAATGAATGTTTCCATGCTGAACAACGGCAACATGACAACGTTTCCATTGGTCCCTCTTCTTTAGAGAAGACCAGGAAATGATGGATACACGGATCGTGTTCAAATCAATAGGCACGCAATTGTTTGTTTGTTTGTAGCCTTTATTTATCCAGGTTAAAAATCCCATTGAGATCAACGATCTCTTTTTCAAAGGAGACCTGCGGTACATTGAGTTACACATATAAAAACAAACAGAAAACAAAAGGACATCACAACATAATTACAGGGGTATACATTAGCAACCTATTCACAGTGACAGGTATCCAATAACATTTCATCCAGCCGTGCTTTAAAACGATGCAAGGGAATCAAAATGCTGAGTTTCAATGTGTTTTGCATGGTGTTCCAAGCTACAGGAGCAGCGCACATAAAAGCTTTAGTA